GTAGCCCATCCTTCTAAAAACAGGAAGATCCATAAGTTCGAATTCCGAGATGAGGATAGCCGTTTCTAAATCAGAAAAAACTAATGTCTCTACAACGACGCTTATCGTAAAATTTCATAGACGATAATTCATCATCACATGAATTTGGTTGACTGGGTCTCGAGTTCTTCCCAGCCGAATTTTAAATTTGGAAAATATAAGGAATTATTTTATTTCCTGTGTGTGCTTTCATTGTGTAGGCGGTAGCGCGTTCAGCTAGCAACTAGAAGATACAAGGTTCGAATTCCATTGACTGCAAAGTTGATTTTTCACTTTTCTCTCTCCAACTCCAAAAGAAACTTGATATCATTTACATTCTTAGGCTATTAAGTGAATTCAGTATAAATGTCATTTACTTTTCATTACTATATATGTCTGTTGACTACTTTTATTCGGAAACCTCTTGCGTTCTTGAATATACTACGACTATATATACAGATAATGATTATCCTAGCCCCACCTCTACCTACCCTTTCACAAATATTATTCATCAAGATTTGGTTTGCTACATCGCTTTACATAATGCTTTCATTTCTTTCAAAAGTTAAGAAATATTTCAGTTTTTCTTTCTAAAAGGAAACCCTGGAATTCCTCAGTTTTTAAAATTACTCAAGAATTTACACTGGAGAAAAACTACTAGGGACGTATTCTTCAAAGAAATGCTTCAACGGGGTTAGTAATATCAGCTAAATCTTAGCTTTAAACTTTTCTATTTGAAGGAATGAGGATGTATGATCCACTTGAAGCGAACCAATGCCGCGAAACGTTTCATGTTCTTTATTTTCAAATAGTAATAATACTTGTGTTTAGTTAAATATATCTATTGGTGTAAAGCTAAGCAATCAACAAATCAACAAATGCGTTAATTCTACATGAAACTAATTTCATTTTTGAATCTCTAAAATATTCATGAAACAGACATAAATAAAATTGTTAAAAATTAGGAAAGGTGAAAGATTACCATGCAAATAAATCAGAAAGTAAATTTAATTAGTTCTATTTCAACATTCTTTAGTATGTTTTATTAATTGATGAAAGAACGTATAATATCCAAACATAAGAAGATGCCACTTTATTCGAAAACTTCTAATTATGCTCTAATTTTAACAAATTTCTATTTTCGTTCTGGCTAATTTGTAATCCTTTGTTCGCAATTTATTGTATTAAATCTAATTCCGCCTACACTGCAAAAAATCTCACCGCGAATGCCTCGAGGCATTTAGAGAAATTGGACAGAGAATCTGCAATTAGCATTCTCAGAAATGAAAGCATTTAAAAATGTTTCGCAAATCCAATATAAAGTACGTTGGATTGAGTAAGACTTTGTTCAATCATTTGCATAGGATATAAAAAAAGAAAGAAAAAATTGCTTCATTTATATTAAAAGTTTTCAAAAGAATAATTGACAAATACAGCTTTTAAGAAGAAAGAAGTCTGCCACCAGATTAATTTTACACGGCAACGATTAAGCATTTAATTTTAACCTTAGGCTCATTTTTTACTGCAAATGTATTTTAAACGCAATTCAAGATTAGCTCACTGTACTTGATAAAAACTAATAACGTTAGCTGCGTAAATATTTGAATTTATAGCAATGAATTACTTCATTGCTCTAAGATATTACGTTTGAAGTTCTTTTTGTAGTGTGTAAATTAATTTCTACGTAGACAAAAAGAAAACAATATTTTGCAGCTATGGATTTTTTACCATGCTACTACAGAATGTTTTCATTTTTTCTCTCCCCCTCTCCAAAAAAAGAAAAGTAGAAAATTTTCAGCCAAGTCTAAACGTTGCACAAAAACTTAAGTTAAAGCATATTCAGTGGTACATATGTACCCAAAGGTGTTCCCGCATTAATATTAATGGTTTATTTTCTCTGAATAATTTTCAATCATGTCAGAAAGACGAACACAAAACCAGGTGTGGGTACTATAACATGTGGTTAGAGAAATAAAAATTATTTTGATTATTTTCTTTTCTTTCATTACCACTCACAAATGAAACCCTTATAAGTTTCTTTCACGTACTACATTTTGCAACAACCTAGTGAGTTGAATAACGTTTACTAAATGAGTTTAGACTTTTAGACTACTTTCTGAAAATTGCAGAAGCAACAAGAAATACTTAAATGTGAAAGAGAAATATTCATTGACATACGTTAAAACTGTAATTATTTCAAACCATTTTGCTTAAGAAACAGAACTTCGGGACAATCAGCCAAGATTTAGCTTGCCACGAATCACAGATGAACCACGAACATGAACATTCATCAAACCGTAGAGGAAAATCCATCTGGTGCTTAGAGATTTTCACGCAAGTTGCGCATATCACAGTAACCTACACGACTACGGTCAATAGCAGCTGCCGGCATTATATTCCATGAAATGAAGTTAGGTTAAGTAATCCGTTGAACAGAAGTGTGCCAGAAATTCCTAAGAAAATCTGCAGAAAATTCGTTTCTTCAAAATAAGAATGAGATAAGACAGCTATGATGGACAGAATGAGACAGAAGAATGAGATTAAGCTTGCAAGCAATCGAAACAAAGCGTAAGATAAGAAACGCGCCTGTTTCTTGTAATCCCAGTTAGTTTACTGATCTTGTTATTAAATACAGGTACGGTTCGAATACATATTGATGCTTTGTGTTTGGATTAATTTCAAAAGGCCAATTCAGTAGCAGTTCATTCTAAATATTCATAGTATTAATGTGAATTTGTATTCTGAACAACTGGAACGGAAATATGCTTTTTTGAAGTAAAAGTCAATGGTTGTAATGAACAGAAATAACACCCTCTTACAGCATTAAAACGCTAAATATAATAACACTGCTAACGCGACCTAAAAAAGTCTAATAACTGAAGAGGATCTAACAGAAGCCATACCCAGTATATACTGAAGCGAGCTCCGGATTTTCAAATTAATATTTGCTTCCATCCAACTTTTTTTTTGTGAATTTCTTGGCAACAGCACTTTAAAAACCAGGAGGACATGGACGCTGGAGGAAAAGAGTTACTTGAAGAGAAAGGTCTGGCATCGATGTGGGAGAATGATGTTGCAGTATAACAACTTATACTCCGAATACTAAACAGCTCTCGTTGTAAAGTTACGCATTAAGGAACCAAAATATTGCAAAACGTTTGATGCACTTCAATATAGAAGGGTCTAACCTAAAACTTTCATAATAGTTTTGTGTAAATTAGCTGACTATTTATTACTGTTACTTAAGACTATTTATTACTGTTACTTGACAGTTTATTACTGTTACTTATGAACTATAATTTATCATTACTGGGTTATGTTGAACATTAATTATTAAAATAATAAATATTATTACAGTAAATTTTAATTTATTATAATAAAAAGTATTTATTTAATATTTATTAAACATACATTAAATTTCAATTTATTATTTTAATTTTTGAAGAACGTTTACTTTTTTGCCAGATTAAAAGAAAATTCTTTGTTTTCTCAGGTAACTTAACAATAATTCAGAAGTGATTATCTGGCCTGTTTTTTTTTTTTTTTTTTTTTTTGTTTTTTTTTTTTTTTTTTTTTTCTTTTTTTTTTTTTTTTTTTTTTTTTTTTTTTTGTTTTTTTTTTTTTTTTTTTTTTTTTTTTTCTTAGTGCCTAAAGTTCAATATTTTCTTAACTTTGCGGCAAAAACTTTTTTCTTCCATCACTTTTAGAGCCCTTCTCTAATATAATGCATACTTTTCGAAATGGAAGTTTCGCCTAATTAATTACTTTTAAGATGATTTAAATTATGAAAAATAATTTATTGAACATAATTTTTTTATCCAAAACATTCTTTAATTTTTCTTTCTTTTCAGTTACATTGTTTTATCAATATTCAGATCTGATGATAACTTCAAAGCAGAAAAAGGAGAACAAATTCATGAAATAAATCGTTAACCTTTGTGAAATTCTCCCAACTAAAATTTATTCATTGACAAATTTCGAAGCTCAAATTTACACTAATAATTTCTAGAACATCTCACGGACTAGAATTCACATTATCGCTCCAAATTAAGATTCTATATTGTTATTATTATTATTATAAGGCCCAGCCCCGATCCTCCTAACTGGCACAAGCCGGAGATTCTATAATATATAAGATATTAAACAGCAGCGCACTAATAGAAAGCTTAATAAGCATTATTGTACATTAATTTTAACAATTTACATAATAATCTTGTTAAAGTACAGCAGGGTCAGTGAAGTAAGCATTGGCTGAGTTGAAAGCTAAACACTAGTAGTTTAACTTGGATTCAAAGGCAGTCTAATGGGCTTGCTGCAGTGATTTTTTCGTGGTTTTTTTTCAATAAATAATTTGAATATAGTTCGTACAATATCTACCGCGAAGTAAGATATCTCAGCAGGAAGATAGCCATCGCTCTCTTTACATAATCGAACGACTGAAAAACAATAACAACAAAAAACCGGCAATATTTGCATGTGATTAATATTTCTATTCAGGCATGGGAAGAAGTTTTACAGTTTACATATTACATACAAAGATATTCAAGTAGAATCTGTTATTTTGAAATACATATTTTAAATTTAGAAAAGTATTTTTCAGCAACGGCTGACTGCACATATTGACAGGCAGCGGATGACAGTTTTCTGTAGTAAAGTATGGATAAAAGTCGTATAGACTTTTATCCATACTTTACTACTAAAAGACTTTTATCCAGCTTCAAAAAGAGAAAAAAATAATATATGAAAACAATGTAATAATTATAATGGAAAAATTAGGAAACATGTTTGAAATTCATATGTTTATTCTATATTCATGAAATCTCAGAATATTTCTCACCGCTCAGTTAGCAAAAATAATTGTGGAATTTTACGCAAGATACACGAAGATATTAACGAAAATATATATTTACAATACAGCTAACAGCTAAGCAAGATCAGAAATAAACCCCATCATACAAGCAATAACAAAGGCTTAAACTTACAGATACGGTTGTAGCTGCGTAAGACATCCTTCTCCCTCTCATCAGGAGAGCCTGGTTCCACTTTTTGCGAATGAGAGCAATAACCTGCAGAAAAAATATTACTTAGAGTATAGGAATAATGATCTAACAGTTGAAACGATGTATCACAAAGAAGGAATTTTAAAAGTCTTAAGAAAGATCACAGAAGAATGAAATAAAAAATTTTAAACTCATTTTCCATAATGCGGACGTATCTCTCTTTTATAACATTGACGGAAAAATGCGGTCCGTGAGTAAAAATTGTAGCTGAATTTGACTGTTAAAAAGCAATAGCGTACTTTTTGTAGAAAAATATATGAAATGATATCATCCAAAACAGCATATTCCTATTGTACTGCGTACGAAGCTAAAGCATTTTTCGACTATTCAACGCAATGGTGTATTCTGAGCAGAGAACATTTTAGCTAAGAAGCTAGGATTCTTGGATCAGAAAGAGATTCGTGTCATGCCACAATTCACCATATTTCACGTCCTACGACCTCATTGTTCTACACTGCAATTTACTAAAATGACGCGATGGCCAGTCTGTGACATAACAGAAAAGACATTCTATCAATCCTTAAAAGAATGTTAGGGTCACTGAAGAAACTATGTATGTGCGTTCCAACAGATGTTATTTTGAAGGTGACTTTGTAATAAATTTTTACATTTCAAATACAACTGATTTACAAGGCTTTTCTGCGAATTTTTTTTTTATCGTACGACAATGTATTAATAAATATAAGATTTTGTTTCGGCATTATTATTTTATTTTTCATCAAGATGCACTAATATTACAAATATTTTCTTGGTTCAGGATGGAAGTCAGCGATTGATTTTATTTTAAATAAATCATTAAAAACTTACTTAATTTAAATTGTTATTTCTTGCTTTCTTTACGACCGCGCAGAGTAGGGGGAACTAAATATTGCCATGAAATACTCAAACTATGATCTTAAAATAATACAGCAAATACATCAACAAATGCCTCTGTTTGTACCCTAAATGTTATTAATATCAACAGATAGATAGATATATATACGATCTAATTAAAAAACATTAAAAAATTTTATTGCGGCTAATTTGCCAGTATATATATATATATATAAAATATATATATATATATATGTACTAATTGTGCTCTATATATGTAATAAGACAACTTGGAGTAAACTGCAACAGATTAACGATGGTTCTCTGTATTACATCTTGAAGAGACTTTACTGCGTAATTAGAAAGATGACACTCGAAGGAGAGACTAATAAGCAGAGACGGCCGGATGAATATAACTTTTATTGGTGGATACGAACTAATTATTAAAAATATTTTTTTCATCACACATGATGATAGGTGCAATCGCACCTCACAGATTCATTTGAGGTAACAGCCATTTTGTTAACATATGAAACTTATACCAGTTATACTAAGTATAAGTTCACTTAACAAACTACACAAAAGTAATGAAACAATACTGAATTTTTGTTGAACATATCAGTTGTTTAGACATGTTCCAATGAAATGAAATTCAATGGATAGAAAATTGGCATATTGACAAAAACAAGAAATATAAAATATTAAATATGTTAGCTGGACGTAGCTTTACTGATCAGCATCTGATCAGAATGGTGCACATTATTATCAAACTAGATTCATTAACGATTTAATTATTTACATATATACATCCAGCGGTATGCTGGGAATCTGAACACGCCACCACTGCATTCGTTCGCGCTCACCTCTCTGCGGCGTTTCTCGATTTTCCCCGTCTACCGGCAGCTTATAGTTATTTAATGCAGACAGATTTTAGACATAAAATTGCAAAATATTACTAAAAACCCAACTCAAGATTTACATGAATAAGAAAGTGCAATATCAGTTCCACAAACACATGTGTTCAATTTTTCTGACCACCGTTTGTGAAAAAACGCATAAAATAAAAACGAACAATTCATGCGTACATGGTACTGATGTTTGCAATAAAATATCTAATAATTACCCATAACAGAAAGATCCTATGATGAAAATAATGATTTCGACAACAAATTAAAAAAGAAATATTGAAAGTCTTACCTCTCCATTGAAGAAGCAAAAGAGAAGTGCAACACTCAGACCCTAAAAAAAAATTAAAATATTGAGGATATATAAAGGAAGACAAAAATAAATAAGATTTATTTTACTACAAGTTCATAGTTACATGTTATCCAAGCTATTAATCTTGAATGATGATTGCAAGCCTGGCGACCATGGGTCTACGAACGAGTAGCCCTTCACATATAATCTCAATTTAAGAAATAACTCAAGTAAGATAGACTTCTATATTGTGACAGTTCCGGCCATGAGACTTTTTTAAATAAAAAAATGCCAACTTATACTTGAACATAGGTTCATAGAAAAATTGTTTACGAGAAAAATGTTTTCCACAGGCGAACTAGTCAGTCCCACTCATGCGATCAAATTTGCTCAAAATATCATTCATTCAAATTTTAAGGAATAGGATACAAGCATTAGAAAAGGCAGTTAAACGTGTTATGAGTCTGACTGCAAATTAAAAAAAATTTTTCGGACAACAAACATTATTATAAAAGCATGAATTTGAAATTCCCATTTAGAGAATATTAAAATTCGTATAAAAAAGTTCTAAGTACGACATTGTCACTGCAGCAAGTCTGGAAAATATTAAATTTTATCCTATGCATGATGTAATTTAAAAGTTAAAATCACTAGTTATTAATTAAGCATGTTGTGTCAAGATTTCTGTGTCGAATTACAAATGTGTATAAAAAATGAAACTGCTGCTTGTTACAAACCGAGTAGCATTTAACAAGGAAAAGAGAGGAAGTTAGGCTATGCGTGATGATCCATATATTAGATTGGCAGTTCCAGTAAAGATGAGCATAGCAAACCCTGCTGGAAAAACATCCGGTATAAAATATTGGAAAAGAAAAGGCAAAGGCCAAATTTTGCAGTGTTAAACTATTATCCTACAAAACACCGAGAGGTAAACAAGTTGTAACAAAACTTTGCAATTTCAAATCCTCATCGTACACAACATCGTATTAAATAAACAAAACAGTTACAAATCATGCAGAAATATGCTTTTTTATGAATCTAACAAGTTATAAAAATTACCAAACGTACACTTTTGCGCTGTTTTTATCGTTACGTTGTTACGGACGGCAATGTTTTAAAATTACAATGTATACTGAGTTTAACACCCTTTTTATGAGGTGAGTATTTTTAATGTATGCATGCATACTAAGAAGATGTAAGTATTTATCGAAAATGTAATCCTCTTGGAGCAGATTTAAGAAGAATTTAAAAATACAAATAGATTTCATGCAAATCTAAGTTTCCTATACTTGATTTGTTGTGTATGATTTAAGGAAAAAAAATTAAATAGATAGACATCAATGAGAAAATGTTTTAACCCAAGCATTAAAAACTTCAAGTTAGAATTCTGAATTATTATTACTAACATGCTGTTTATTTAAGACAGATGTAGAATTTCTGACTATTTGCATAATCGATTTCTAATTTAAATGAAAAGAGGAAATTAAAAAATAAACTTTCATTCATTTTGAAATAAATACGGCAGTTTTTTTTATCATCATATACTCATTAATTTATTAAATTTCCTAAAATTTAGTTCAAGGCAATAAATTTTTATCTTCCTAGTAAAATTTTAATAAGATTCCCGTTCTTTGACCTAGCTATGAAACTGGAAATAATATCTCATCAAACTATATGCTTCTCAGTTTCAATGAAACGCGAAGTTTCCGGTCTCCTCATGTTACAATTTTGCAAGCAATAAAAGATTTTTATCACGCGGAAGAGTTTCTGTAAAATCACCATAACGTTTAAAGTAACAATATTACCTAACAGATGGCGCGACTTCTGCAAGTTCACAAAATCGAAACTTGAGTTCTGAGGAGCCAAAAATGAAGAACAATATCTCGAATTACTGCTAACGGCTTTTTAACACAATTGCTGGAATTTAGCAGTTTAAAAATTTATGCACTGAATAACTTAAAAATATCAATGGAAGTGGTTAAAATTTGCTTTATTTTATTTAAATAAAGTCTAAAATACCTTTCAGCAATTTAAAAAAAAAAAAAAAGAAAAAAAAAAAATACTCTACTTGGAATGAAGTAACGATGGCCGAGATAGTCTCGTAGATGGCTTCTCCAGGGGATCGAGGAACGGGACGAAAAGGTGTCACAACATAGTGAAGTCCAAGAAGAGGGATCAAAATGAGGGTTGCACGCACAGCTTTCCTGAAACATAAAGTAACGGAACAATTATACATTTGGGTTGCCAATGAAAATACAGCTATTTAACTCGAAGGGAATCATCTTAACAATTTTGCATTTGCTTGATATAGCAATTTTAGAAAAATAAAATAACAATTTTAGGAAATTTGTTACAGAATATCTAAATTTTGATGCCAAAATTTTAATCACAGTCAGCGAATACGCAAACATAAAGACACATTTTGTTTTCTCTTCAGATCGTGGTTCAATACTCCCAATCAAAGTTAAGCAATTTACAGAATTCAGTACTTTAGCTGTGAACAATAACTGATTCATTAAGAAAGTTGAGTAAAATTAAACAGAAATTAAACGGCGTGAATCCTTTGAGTATGGTTTGAAGAGGATCACCTCAAAAGAGTGCAGCACCTTCTCGAAAAGACAGAAGACTTCCCCAGAAGACAGAAGAGTGCCCCTGCCATTAGAGATAGCAAACAAACTAAGATCATTGGCACGCTTACACTAATCTGGAGTTTTCCATAAAGGTGTGGGCACTGTTACGCGAATCCGATTTTCTTTTCAATTACTGATTAATTATTAAGAATTATTGTAAGTTAAGGAAGCGGATTTTTTAATGAAATAAAAACTACTTAAATTTCGGTATTTTTTAATCTCGATTTCAATAAATTCTTAATCTCGATCTAATCTCTTAATCTCTAATCTCTTAATTAAGAGATTAGATTAAGATCTAAATTCTTAATCTAATCTCTTAATCTCGATCTCAATAAATTCTTTACCTATGGGTGACTGAAATAAATTGCATGAAAAAATAAACAAATGTTCAAAGCCATTCCAGAATGAATTTCATGAATTGAAAATACTTCTAATAATAATGACACTTGTTCCGAAATTGCGTTTCTGAAAACTAAATAAGAAAATAAGCTCAAGAAACTATGTAGAAAATCAGATTTTATAATCAGAATGTAGAATTATGGAAAATAATACTGCATTGTCTGAAGAAATACTAAAAGGTTCCATTGTAATAGTAATGGCAAATTACGATAAAATGACTACGGTTTGGAAAACAAAATAACAAAGTCAACAAAAACGATAACAAATTTTGGGAAATACTAGAAAAAAGAAAAATTTAAACGGGGTGAGAGGTGTTACGGACCATTTTTAAGAGTAATTTTTTTTTAAAATTTGAAATCAATATGTACACTGTGAAAAAAAAGGGGGGACAGTTTTATATCTCTCGTTCTACTAAGCCGATTGACGAAATGTATTAGGTGTATATATAGCATTATTCTAATATAGGTATTTTGACACAAAATCGGACTTTTTCTGAAAACTCGCAAGAGTAGCTTTTAAAAATTAACTCTCAAAATTTTAGGTCCTCAATGTTAATTGAGTTTGGTATATATTTATTTGATTCTTCCTTTAATATTTCGAAATTCAGGTTCATTCCAAATAAAATTCACCCATTTTTATGATTTATTTTTTAAAATTTGTATTTTAAAATGAATTTTTATAAATTTTTCAGAAAAAAGTTTGAAATATAATCTATAAAATTTTTACCATCATCTTAAAGTAGACGTATTTCTAGAGCATATCGGCAAAAAAATGACAGTTTTTTATTCAAAATCTCCAAAGATATACGTGAATTTATATATTGGCCCGTTTTGAAATTTGGCATATTTACTGAAAAGCGATAAAACATCAAATGTGGTTTAGACACATTGCTAAAATTATTTGAAAGTTGGAACGATTCCCGCTTATACACAGTGTAAAAGGGTAGGAACGAGGTGCCTTTTTTTCGCTCCGGCATAATGGAAGGGAAAGGAAAATTGGTTGCCATATATTAAGAAGTTCGCTTAGTGAATTATTCTTGGCGCAAACTGAAAAAAATTGCGCCAAGATAAATTTCTGAATTTCTCCGTAAATTTTGCACGACATTTTATAAAATTTAAAATCTAGGCATAATTTGAGTCGTGGAATCGAAATATGGAAAAAAAATTGGTATTTTATTTCAGAAAAGTGCAATTTTGTGTCAGAATACCTAAGTTACAACAATGCTATATATAAATCTAATATACATCCTAAGTCGCGCGCTTTCAAGACATGAAAAACGCAATTTGAATTTTGTCAATAGGCCCAGTAGAACAGAAGATATAGAACAGCCCCTTTATTTCGCAGTGTACATTGGAAGTCGAAAGAAAATGAGATAGCCTCCTTAAACTATTAGATAGAGCATATAAAATTGAATATTCGGTAGAATACTGAGGATTTCATATGGAACATCTTATTAATTTACGTCCAAAAAGAAAAAATAAAAATAATAAAAAACTATATGCATTTTTTACCCTTTCTGTGCATAGTAGTTTGAAATTTCGACCAAATAAGGCTTAATTTATTAAAAAATAAGCCTCTCCTGGCAACCAGAAACATTTTTCTGATTGACGAAAATATGAGTATACCGTTAAGCCAATCCGATGTTTTTCTGTGGGAAACATGATAGCAATTCTCTAAGAGATTCCTTTAAATTTTAGATTTGTTAAATAAAGCAGAAAACATGCATTTATGTGTTATTCAAACAAAATTAAACTGTCCATTCACATATTCGCAAATATCGTATTTTATGTACAAGGCATATTTCAAATACTATTTCATTTGACACTAAATACTTCGCGATGCAATATTTGAAGGAAGTCTTATTATTGAAGAAGTTGAAAATGAATAGAGTGAGAAGTGAAATATTGAAGCAGTTGAAATCAATACCTTTAAAAAGGAAATTGTAATGATTTAATTAAACTTTTTTTGTATACCGAATATTTTCCATTTCTTTGGATTTTGACCAATGAAAACTTTGCAGTCATCAGTCTAAAGTATAAAAGACGAAGTGCATTTGTACGAATCTAGGAAAACGCCTAATAGTGATATTACAGTGTGATAATTACAGCCTGATAACAGTTTTATAATTTAACAAATTGCATGCATTCTTCTGAGAGCTTTTTCTTCCTTCACTACGGAATGCAGTGATGTTAATTTAAATCTCCTTCACATAACTCTTAATTTAAAAAATTCTGTTTCGTACAAGGATTACTTCTTTAATGTGGATCTAATCTCAGTGATAAGGCATCAAGAAAAAAATGCAACATTTAAACAGCATTAACTCTGAATGTCTCAATTATTCTGTGTAAGTTATTCTAAATCTTGACATTTAATAAAAGCCTTGTTTTCGCTTATCGTAAGCTCTTGAAACTCAGATAGGCACATTAATAAATGATGGCTAGGTACGAAAGCAGGCGAATGTCTCTTGGTGACAATTTTTTTTATATTGTCAATGATAAATTGTCAGTTTGTGAGGAAAAACCATATTGTCGGTGGCAGTACGGTTTTGCATACAAAAGATAAACCATAATTCTGTCCAAAGTCCATAGTCTGTTCCATTCCATGAACAGACCAGTTCCTGTTCATATCAAAGATAGGATGCACCATAGTTCTGTCCCATATTTGATATAAAGCATGACGAAGACTGAAATATAAATATTAAACTTATTACACTTTTCTCTTTCTTTAGAATTTTGAAATGATATCCGATCTGATGAATTTCAGATAATCCGAATTTTTTCATCCCACGCGTTTTCAAGGTTGCGAAATGTTTCAGAATTATATCTGTACATGGAATTTTACGGTTTTAAGGATGTGTTCTACGTTTTAAGGATTTAAACTCAGAATGAAAGATAATTCGAACTTATATTGGACTCTAACATTAACTACAGACTCACGACTCGGACTGGTTTCTGTGCGCCTTGCAAAACATGTCGTCAAAGGGCTGAAAAGTTAAACGTAAGGTTCAGCGGGGAAAATAATCGAAGTGTCTTTCTTATTAATATTTCTTCAATATAATAATTTTGTAAATATTAATAAACAATCTGAGAATATATATTAAAAAATATGATAAGTTTTAAAATTTATATGTACCAATATAATATATTCAATAATAAAAAGTTTTAAGTTTTTTCACATTACATGGAATGCGTCGTTTGAGCCAAACCTTAGAAGGAAAGGAAAGAATGGTATTTCTAAATATGGAAAAAAAAGAGAGAAGAATTAGGCAAAATAAACATAAAAAATCACTCATAGATATTACAATCACAAATATTCACGTCTTATATGAAATTCGAGCCCCATTTTATAAGCGTGGGAGCAGCCTCCGCTGATAATTATATTGATCAGGATTCAGTAAGAAGTGAGATTAAATCTCGCAAAATTTTGTCACGGCATAACGAGAAAGAAAATATCTAGAAAAAGAACGTGTGCATTTTCAATAATAATAAGTTTGTGTCATCACCTGCAGAGCCTAGTCAAATTAAATTTAATAATGCAAAAGGATTGTAAGCTGCAATTTTCGCAATGAAAACAATAAGAAATGGACAACAATCAATCTTAATTTTAAAGCAAGCAGTTAGTCGACTACAGATTATATTTTCTCTTCCACTAACTGTAGAGTCTTCGTGTTCTTTTCGGGAACCTTAGACCTTACGTAAAAAGACTGTGTAGCGAATTTTCGGTATGTCTTTGAAAATCAGAAACTGCAGAAGAAGGTTTAAATAACCTTGTTGCACTCCCTCGGTGCTCATAATTACCACCACTTGTGGCAACGTAACTCGAACAAAAAATAAAAATGTAAAACTGACAATAAATTAAGATGCTAAACAATTGGCTCCTTATTTACTCGTACCTAAACCGCTAATTCGGCTGCACACAGCAAAGCCGAGCTTAGAATATCAATATAATAGGAAGAGGGTGGCTAATACAAACTATAGAGCTATTTCAAAACACGCAGCATAAAGTTGGAACTAAATCCACTACTTCTCTTCACGAACTCTTGACATCGCAGCTTAAATACCGCTACTGAACTCACTCATACTACGTCATTAAAATTTACATTCTGGAAGGAAACTGAAATCAAAAGGGAAAGGAATGATTCTTAAAATAATTGATTAGAATAAAAGATCTTTGCA